CGCAAAGGGTCTTTAAATTTCTCACCTAATTTAGCTGAGAATTTGTTTGCAGCCGTTGATAAGTAGTGCGTTTTTCGTAAGACTTGGTCGCCAATTTTGTATATTGTATTTCGTCGTCCTATATTTTATCTGTTTACCATTTTTTGGTGTACTTTTTCAAGATTTTGTTCGATCATTTTACCTAGGTCTCTCAATCTTTTCAGCCTTTCCGTCCATTCTTTCGGTTTCGGTCAGTTTAAGCTCGGTTGATTCTATTTTCTTTTGCAAGCTTCTTGGTGGCCTAGGTTGTGTACCGTAGTTTAAGAATGCCAATGATGTTTACATGGATGATTCTATTGTCGTATTTATGATGTGTTTGGATTCATTAAGGTATTTATCCCAATTTCGATGGTCATTTTCTACAAATATAGCTATCATTGTTTTTAGTGTCTTATTACTTCTTTCGACTAGATTGGCTTGTGGATGGTATGGAGCTATTGTGTTGTGCTTGATATCATACTCATGTAACATGCAGTCTAGGTGTTTATTGACGTATTCTTTTCCATTGTCGGTAAATAGGTAGTCAGATATTTCCCATCAGAATATAATTAGTTCCTGTAGTGCTTCTGTAACAACCTTTCCGTGACCAGAGCGTACTGGTTTGAGTTCTACCCAACATGTAAAGAAATCTTGCTGCGAGGGAATTCGATAGTGTCTGTTATCTCTACTGCCCATGGTCATTTACGTCTCGTCGATTAATGAGGTCTAGGGATCTTGTTGGTTAGCTTTGTAATTTTGGCATAGTGGATACCTTGGGACGAAGTTATACGTACCAGTTTAAATGCCACGCCAGTAGTATTCAAAAATGATTCTTGTACATGTCTGTTTTACTCCGAGATATTCCGCTGAGGCTATACAATGGGCATTTCCAGTCTGTTTCTCCATTCGTTACTGGATCCATATTGGATCTGACCGTCTGTAGTATAACATGGCTTCTATTTTTCAATCAGAATATTTGTCTGATTTGTCTTTCACTTTGCTACGCTTCTTCAGACACCAGTTGTCTTGTACCATCTTGTACCATCTTTTATTGATCTCTTCTTCAATTCGGGACAACGCGTCTATTACTTTATGCAGTGTGCATTTGCGATGTTTGAAGGTTACATGTTCCTGAATTAGGTCTTATACCTATTTTCTCAGACTACTTTCAGCTCTTTTATGTTGAATAAGTATACTAGGACTCAGTAATCAGGGAAGACTGTATAGTCGTATCCTTTCAGATATGGTTGTAATTTATTTATAGCGTACACAATCGAAAGAAAATCTTTTTCTGTTACGGAGTAATTTCTATCTACTCCAGTCAGTTTTCGGTTTAAATACATTATTGGATGTTCTCCATCATCAAATTCTTAAGTCAGAACAACTCCAATTGCAAAACTACTTGCGTCTGTCTGAACTGTAAATGGTCGGGCAAAATTTGGTCTTACTAATACTGAGGTTTCTGTCAGTACACGTTTCAGTTTGTCAAATGTTTCTTTTTGATCAGCTTCCAAATTCAATACTTGGTGTTTCTTTAAGATTTTTTGTAGTGGTACTTTTATTGCTGAGCAAATTTTAATAAATCTGGAGTATCATTCGACTATACCTAATAAGCTACGTAGTTGCTTCAATGTCTTAGGTACTGGGAATTTGAGTACTGTCCTGGTCCTATCAGGATCCGCTCGCAATCCTTTATGATATAGTAGAAAGTCCAAGTGATTTAGGTGAATGCAGCTGAATTTACATTTCTTGGCGCTTATTTGCAGTCCAGTTTCATTTTCTAATTTCACTAATTCTAAGGAAAGGTTTCAGTGGCAATAATTATATCGTCGAGATCGGAAAATATCTGTGGTTCCTAATCCGAATCAAATAGTGTCAGCTAGGCGTTGGAAGGTTGCAGGGGCATTAAACGAGTCCGAACGGCACAACTGCGAACACCGATAGTTCTTCTCCTGGGCTTGTAAAATATTTGCAACTATTTTCTTCTAGTACTACTTGGAAATATACTTAATTAAGGTCAATCTTACTGATGTATTTCGTGTGCCGCAATTTGTCTAATATTGAGTCCATATTTGGAAACGGATATGCATCTACTCTTGTGATCTTGCTTAAGTCGCGAAAGTTAATACAGAATCTCTAGGAGCTAATCAGGTTTATGTATTATAACTGGCGCGCTACGCCATGTACTTTTAAGTAGTCAGATAATGCCCATTTGATATATTTTTTGGATTAGGGTTCTTATTATTTTCTGTATTGCTGGTGACAGTCGCCTTAGTCTTTGTCTTATTAGTTAGCTATCACCTACGTCTATTATGTCTTTTACAATTGGTGTTCTTGATTCATCAGTCATGAGCTGTATCAAGCGGTCTGTTATTTCCTTTATACATTTGGTCTGATCAGGTGTAATCTCTGTAAGGACGAAATATTCAGTAAAGAAGGTCTCTCGCTGCGATAACTGTCTAGGTTGTAGGTAATATCATTTATTATTCTGTAATTTCCACTTTTTTCTATGAAGAGTATAATTGTAAGCTTATTCCCTTGCGTTAAGAAGTCTAAGCTTAGTAAAATTGGTGGTCCGGGCACGTTTCTCACTGCTTTGAACTTGAATTTCTATGTATGCCCGTTAAAGTCGATTGTCCATAGCTCGCTTATTATCTTTACAGTTTTTCCCATAATTCCTTGTATCATTGTATAACTCGGAATCAATCTTTCTTCAAATCTATAATCTGTGGTTCTACTACGAGGGTGGTCCGATAAGTACTTAGCCTACAAAAGATAAACGAAAATTTTGGAAAAGTGGCGTTTTATTTTTCAACATAGTCTGCTTTTAGTTCGATACACTTGGCCCAGCGATGCTCCAACTTCTTTAACCTGTCTGAAAAATACGTTTCCTCGAGGTCTGAAAAGTAGGCTTCCGTGGCAGCGATTACCTCCTCATTCGACTCAAATATCTGCCCGGCGAGTGACTTTTTCAAGTTTGGAAACAAAAAGAAGTCGCACGGGGCTAAATCTGGAGAATACGGTGGATGGGGCAGCAGTTCGTAGCCTAATTCGACCAATTTGGCCATGGCGACGGCGGAGGTGTGAGCCGGTGCGTTGTCATGGTGGAAGAGCACTTTTTTCTTTGACAAATGGGGCCGTTTTTTCTGCAATTCGACGTCGAATCGGCCCAATAATTCGGCATAGTACAGCCCTGTGACCGTTTTGCCCATCTCCAGGTAGTCGATGTAGATCACACCTTGTGAATCCCAGAAAACGGTGGCCATCACCTTTCCGGCCGATGGGGCAGTCTTCGCCTTCTTCGGAGCACTTTCGCCAAGTAAAGTCGACTGTTTCGACTTTTCCTTGGTCTCTGGTGTATACCAGTGGATCCATGTTTCGTCGACTGTCGCGAAACGACGCAGAAACTCCTTCGGATTGCGCTTAAACAGCGTCAGACATTGCTCTGAAGTTGTGTCACGGTTACGCTTGTTGTCCGGAGTGAGCAAACGCGGCACCCATCGCGCCGACAGCTTTCTCATGCCCAATATTTCATGCAGGACATGACCTACGCGGTCTTTTGAGATGTCTACGATCTTAGCTATCTCGCGCACCTTCAATCGTCGATCTGCCAATACAAGATCGTGAATTTTTGTCACGTTATCCTCCGTGGTAGCCGTTTTCGGAGCACCTGGACGTGACTCTTCAAAAATCGACGTGCGACCACGTTGAAACTCGTTAAACCAATTTTTGACGGTCGCCATCGAAGAAGAAGAATCACCGTACACGGCATCCAAGCGCTTTTTGATTTCGCTGCGCGATTTCCCTTCCAAAAACAAGAATCGAATCACCGACCGATACTGCTCTTTTTCCATTTTTCAAAAATCAACGGACACACTTGCTTTCACATGCTCTCAAAAATAAACTACAACTCCAATCCGGCTGAAATCTTAACAGTAACCGTCGAGAAAGTTGTACTACGTGATAGAATATTTCTTTTGCGAGAGTGGCGCTATTGGGCGGTGAGGCTAAGTACTTATCGGACCACCCTCGTAATGAAAGTTCCAGTCCAGACTCAACAAGGGCGTCATGTGCTACGTTACCAATATAATACTGTTATCGACCTTGGAGGTGAGGTCAGTAGGGTTGTTGCGTTTTCGGATTTGATTTGATCCACTCCTTCATGATATTCTGTATTTGATAGGTCAGTTGTTGGTAGATCTGATATCTGGTTTTGGTATCGTTGCCGGTATTTTCTCTTTTTCACTGACTGTGAATTGGACGGTTTTCTTGATTTTTCTTGTTGTATCCGTAATTGCACTTTCAAAGTTTATGACAGATATTCAGTGATTATTTCAGTGTTTATTTTTACTGTTAATCCTGTCATTAGTTAAGGAGTTTGGTGGTCAGTTTTGTCTGTTGTTGAACTCTTTTGGGATTATTGGTAGTCAGGTTCGGAAATAATCTCGTGAGTATTTGTTATCAAAAGTATTTATTGAAGATCAAAAGCACGTCTTTAGTCTCGGAGCGAAAACACGAGGTGAACGGTTAGAAGGCCGGAACTATATTAGCCAAGAAGCGCAGTGGAAGCGGCTCTCTCCCCCCACTCACATACGTGCAGACATAAGCCTTGCGCGTCTTAGCTATAGTGTATATGAGCTGTGTATAATCGATATTTCAACACTCCCTCCCGAACATCACAGCTCGTCAAAGTTAAATCTAGAAATCACAAGTCTTTATCACAATATATCAAGTTTATCAAAATCATTCATTTACTCGTCTCGATCTTATTTGAAATAATATTCTCTTATAAAGCAAAATGAAACTAAATAAATTATTATTAATTAAATAAACAAGTAATCTAAGCCATTGCTCTAATCTGAATATAAAAATATCTTGGCTCGTCCTTTCTTCTTATCTCGCTTAATCTTGTCTCTGGATTTTATCTAGTCTCCTTCTTATGGTTATTTTCTATAACAAATCAAAAGAAAACATGTTAGGTTTCATTCTTTCAGATTCATTATTTTATACGTTAAATCAATGTGAGACTGAAAGGGTAAGGACTTAGTGAATATATCAGCAAGTTGCTTCTTGCTCTCGACCCATTTTACTTTAACTAAATCTTTCTCAACGCATTCTTTAACATAATGTTCTTTAATCTCAAATACATGTCTTAATTTGTTTCCCCCGTCCATCTCAGTATTCTTTCCTGCTGCTCTGTTGTCACACCACAGTGTCATGAGAGCAAGTGATTTATTCAAAATCAACTTTAAAGAGTTGTCCAAACCAACCAACTCTTGACACGTATCGCTCATAGTGATATATTCTGCTTCACATGTAGACAGAGTTACGTGAGGTTGTTTGTGTGTTCTCCAACTTATAGGATCACCATATAATTTAATCACGAAGCCACAAGTGGTTAAAGAGCCTTTACAGTCGGCATAGCTTGCATCAGCATAGGCTTGCATGTCATTTTCTTCTCTATAAGTCAAGCTATAGTGTCTCGTCCCCTTTAAATATCTAAAAATTCTTTTCACCATCTCATAATCAGTAACTGTGGGATTTATTTGATGTCTACTGGCAACATTAACTGCATATGATATATCTGGCCTGCTTGCATTTGCTAAGTACAAGAGATTTCCAACCATTTCTCTATATGGTACATTTTCCGCACTCTTTGTGCTTAATAATATTGTTTCGTCAATTTCTTCTTCTCTCAGCTTTCTTTTCAAGTTATTTACTTGGTTGGTGACCATTGGGGTCCTTGTTGGATGCATGTTTTCAAATCCAAATTTTCTCAACATATTGTCTATATATTCTGTTTGATCCAGTTGCATAATTTTCCTTTCCTTATCTCGTCTAATTCTTATTCCCAAGAACTTTTGGGGTTCTCCTAGATCTGTCATTTCAAATTCTTTTAGCATTTTCTCTTTTACTTCCGTCAGTTTATCAATATTGTTGCTAGCAGCCAAAATGTCATCGACATAGACTAACAGCATCAAAAAGGAATTTCCATCTGTTCATGTAAATAGGCAAGGTTCTAAGTCATTACCATTTAATCCTATACTTTCGAGTGATTCTCTCAATTTTTTATTCCATCTCTTTGGACTAATCTTTAAGCCGTACAGTGCTCTCATCAACTTGCACACATAATTTGATTTCTTTCTTGTATCATATCTTAAACCTTCTGGTATTTCCATATATATTTCTTCTTTAATTTCTCCATTCAGGAATGCTGTTTTCACGTCTAATTGTATAGCATTCAAATTGTGTTTGTTAATTATCGTTAGCACACCTCTCACTAACGATAATTTTGATACTGGGGCGTAAGTCTCTCTGAGATCATACTGGTTGTGATCTTTGAATCCTCTCATCGCTAATCTTGCTCTGAACAACGGACTCAAATCAGGATTTGATTTGATTTTGAAGACCCATTTCGAATCTATAATATTCGGATTTCCTCCTTCTTGTGATTTTATTGGTCTTGGAACTATTTTCCAGACATTCTTATTCCTCATTGCATTTAATTCTACATCAATTGCCTTTTGCCACTCGTCTCTGTCTGGTGTTGACATGGCGTCTTTGTAGGTAGCTGGATCTTTGTTAATCTTTGCTAACAGTGCATGAAATGCCTCGTCCATTGTGCAGCTATTCATCGTCTTGTTCTTATCCTTTTCAGTGCTTTTCAAGTCGATTGTATCAGTCTTCTCTATTGTTGTGAAATAGGTAAAGCTCACGTCATTTATTGGTATTTCTTTTATCGCCACGTCTTTGCTAATTTTTTCTTTTCTTGGTCTTTCCCTTTTTCTTTTCTGTTCTCCCTCCGTTTCTGAGGCCTTTCCCGTCTCATTTTCAATTTCTTTCTAAAATTCAACAAACCATTTTTCTTTATTTATTTCTTCATAATCTGAAGAATTTTTTACGCAGTTTTTACTATACTTATCTCCATAAACTAATTTCTCATTAAATCTCACATTTCTATTTTCGTACAGTTTTCCATCTTCTGGTTTCAAGAAAATATACCCAGTTTCTTTGTATCCTACTAATACAACTCATCTCCCTTCTGGTCTCCATTTTGGACCTTTCTTTCTATGTACTTTGCTATAAGCCAGACATCCAAATCGTTTAATTTGGCTAAAATCAATATTGTATTTGGGTGCAAATGTTTTCAAAGGTGGTTTCATATCATTTGACTTGTGTGGTGTCCTATTATACGCATACGTTGCGGCTCCCAATGCCAAATCCCACATATTTTCCGGAATCTTCGCGTCAAACATATAAGATCTAACTTTCTTTTGAATTGTTTGGTTAAATCTTTCTAAAACTCCATTATGTTGTGGAGTGTCTGGACAAGCTAATTGATACTCTGTTCCTAGTTTGTCCATAACCTCTTTGGTGTAACCTCCTACAAATTCTGTTCCCTGATCAGTTCTCAAATAGCATACTTTAGCATCGTATCCTAACAAGTTTCTTGCACTTCTCACAAACTCTTCAAAACAAGTACCTGTCTCATCTTTTGCTTTCATTGGAAAAGTCAATGCTAATCTCGAATAGTCATCTACAAACACAGATATATATTTGTATCCCTTTGGATAAGAGGCATGACTTATCATGCCCATAGTGTCTGCGTGGATGATTTCTAGTGGTTGAGTTGCTCTTTGTCTCGTCATTTGAAAAGGTAATCTATTCATTTTTGCTATCATACAAATTTCGCAGTCTAATATTTTCTCGTCAAATATCACGTCTTTTAATTCTTTTACTTCTGGGAATTGATTTTGTATTGCCTTTAAATAGTTTAAAGACGCATGACCTAATCTCGCATGCCAAAGCATGGCTTTATCTTTATAGCAATTAGTCATTTCTATGTGATTGAGATCCTTTTCTATTTCTATTATCTCGTTTTCATCTTCATTTTCAACGTCCATCTCCTCTATTTTCCTGTCACAAATTGTCGTTGAAAATCTTGGGACATTCTCTATTATTTGTTCTCTTTCGTTCTCATTTTCGGGTGTAGTCTTGTCCTTTCTAAGTTCACTATCATTATTTTCATCATCTTTAGAATCTATGCTTTTTAATTGTTTTAAGTTTCTCGTCACGCTTCTAGTCATATGTAGGAGTCCCCCATTGCTATCTGTCGCCAAGAATGCAACAATTTGTTTGTACCTATCTCTATTCTCGTCACAATTTTCTACCAGGTCATTTTTGTTAATTTCAAACTCTATTATCCAATATGGTTTTTGATAGATTCCCGAGATAAATGTTTTATTTAATATAGGGTCATATATATCAATTATCTTATTGTCTAAATAAACACTAAGTCCTTGATCAGTGAACTTGCGAAGAGAAAGTAGGTTTTCTGATAATGACTCTGCATATATTACATTATCTATTTGTATAATCTCATCTCTTTCATTACTTGTTTCAATCAAACCTACTCCCTCTGTTCTCAAGTTCGCATTTTCGTTTTTATTCGCACATTTAACTATATGTACTACATTCTCGTCTTAAAAATCAATTTTGATTTCGCAAGGTGCTCAGTAGCACCAGAATCAACAATAAATTTTTCTATTTTATTCATATGGTTATCAACAATTTCTAAATTTTGATCGCTGGCAAAGGTCACTTTATAGGCAGAGAAGCTCTTACCTTGAGCTTCGTTTTGTTTTTGAGAGTTTGAATTGTTTTGCGATCCATCTCTTCGTCGTCCTCCACGGCCTCGACTGCGTCCTCGTCCCCTAAAATTGTTGTTACCTCTACCTCTATTTGATGATGAGTCAAATTTTCTTTTCTTATTGTTCTCGTCATAACTCTCGTCATCATCAAATTTACGTTTGAAACCGTTGTATTTATTGTGACCTCTGCCTCTATTATTGTAATTATTTTGGCTACTGTACCTGGAATAATTTCCATTTCCTTCGTTGTCGCGTCTCGTATCACGTCTTTGTTTGCGTGGATTTTGAGGGCACGTCTCATATTTGTGGTGCACGAATTTGTTGCAGCAGTAGCATTTTCGTAGTCCATCTGGACCGTCAAACCTACTGTCGTTTTTATGGGGACAAGTTTCACACATATGCCCTCTGTCGTGGCACCTGTAGCAGTAGTCCTTTTTTACAGAGGCTGACATTGCTCCGCCGCCTCTAGTTGGCACTCCTCCTCTCTCTGCTTCAGCCTGCATGAGATACAATTTCAAGTCTTCATAAGACATTTTCTTTCCCGTCGTTCTTTGATTCATGAAATCAGCCGTTCTAATCTCTGGTAAACCCGTCACGATTGCAGTATAAAACGCGTCTCTTTTCTCGTCTTCGCTTAATGGCTGAGCGCCCTGAACATTATTATATTCTCTGAATAGATTCTCAAATCTATCCCATAAGTCTGTAACCGAATTATTGCTAGGATCGTATCTAATAGCATACATTCTCTTTCTCACAGAAATTGTTGTTGTATTATTTTCGCATCTTTTAATTTCTTCCATTCTTTTCAATAGTTCTACAGGGTCTTTAATATCAATTGTCCTTTCATGGTAACTTTGATCTAAATGATTTATCAGAATATCACGTACTTTAAACTCATCTTTTTCTCTCGTATCCGCGTCATTATTATGTTTGGTTCCAACCTTTTCGTCAATAATATATAATAGATCTTTAGATCTTAATTCAGATGTGAAGTAATCCTTGAAATGTTCAAATTTAATTTTACTCGTCAATTTATAATCTCGTCGCGTATTCATGTCTTTATTCGAGACTTCTACTTTATTAAATTCGAATCATTTAAACTTGTATTCGCGTTATTATTGCTCGATATTCCTAGTCTCACCAACTCGTCTTTGATAGCTTCTGATAAATCCCCGTCACGTCTCGAACTACTTGCTACATTTCTAAAATTTGGTTCTTTTTCACCACTAGTCTCTTTTTCATTTAGATTTGCCTCGTCATAATCGTTGGAAAAATTGTTTACCTCTAGGTTTATTCTCCTCACATTCTTCTCACACTCTTCCAGTCTATCTCTTATTTGGTTAATCTTGTTGTTCATTTTATTGGCTTCTCGGTACTTTCGTTCCATGTCATCTTCCACTTTGTTGATGTCAAGTCTCAATTCTAGGAGTCTGAGGTCATGAGCGTATAATCCTGAGTTTACATTTTGACATAATTTTTTAATCTCATTTGCCAATACTTTTGGCAACTGATCAAGTGTTTTCTCGTCAAATTTTACCTCGTTTCTTTTCACTTTCTCTGTGGTGTTAGTATTTAGTGACATTGAACATTTGTTAGTTATATTTAAGTGGCATTTTTCATTTGATTTGATTTTAGGTATACCTTGCTTTTTATTACTTTTCTCCTCATCATTTTGATCCCTCGTCAATCTCAAATCATTATTCTCCTCGTCATTGTTTTTCTCGTCTCCGTCTCTCACATCAATCACGTCTTTCTTTTGCTCGTCTCTTTTCTCATCAACATCATTCATTCTTTCAATAGAAGCAGAGTTTATTTCCTTGATGTTGATTAAAAGTGATCGGTGCTGCTCTTCTTCAGCTCGGATCATTTCAGTCAGTACTCTAATCTCACCATTAGTGTATCTATGGATATCTGAATAATTAAAATTCAATTAGTTAACAAATTCAATGTCTAGTATTCTTCAATTTGATATCTCGAACATCGAGTATGTTAAATGAAAGAATGAGTAAAAGCACGAAATCCGTACAACAAGTTTTTCGAAGCATTGACTCTTGCCACGGCATGAGCATACGCACACAGTATTGTTCACATCGCGACAAATTCAAAATGTTCCGCGCTGCGCAGCTTTAAACTAAACGGAACATATTGTACATAATTTATTTATGTACAGCCACTTTCAAATTTTAATTTCTAGCTAGTTTTAGTATATTTGTATATATATTTAGTTACACACCTGTTTCTATCTCTTCAAAGTCGGGTGTAGTAAATATTATGGTCGTTTCTGTCATTGTTACTTTAACCTTTCTATACCCTTTTTCTTTCCAACCATGCTCTGTGTCAGCTGTGCGAGTCAACAGCAGATAAGTCGTTTTGTCTGGTTGAGAATCACATTCAATATATATATATATTATTATTATTCATGAATAACTTTTAAGTGCACTTTTATTAATCACGTCAATATTTTCAGTTTCAATTTCAATTTCAAATTTCAAATTTCACTTTCTATTTCTATTTCAAGTTCAAAGTCAAATGCATGCATTAGTATTTCAAATCTCGTCTCGTCTTTCTTCACAGGGTGCGCGCGCACATCTTGTCCGACTCTAACAGGCTGCCGCCTGTCGACCACGTGTCCCTTTGTTGTGCGCCATTTTGCCTACCGGCTTTTCTCGCTTCTTGGAATTTCAAATTCCACGGCGACTTTTCGATTTGTTCGCATCGTTGTCACTCGTCAAATTTTGCGTCTCTCGATCGATCGTAAACCTTTCTTTAATATTCGCGTCACTATTTTTATTTTCTACGCGTCTTTTCACTTTCTTACCTTTTGCAATTTGAGCCGTCTCTTCTCTTTCTCTCTCTTGCTGCATCTCCTGTGACTCTGCCATTTTCGAGCCTGTGGCAGCGTGTGTGTGAGGCTCTCTCGTCCTTTTCTCTCGTTACCCACTCGCACACACCTCAGCTCCCAGCAATGTAGTCACAGTCACTGCACCTCACTCTCGTCAACTTGTCAAATCACTTTCCCGCGACTACTTCAGCCGAGTTTCCGCGCGGCGGAAACGTGCTGGGCCCATAACCTTTTGGGATTATTGGTAGTCAGGTTCGGAAATAATCTCGTGAGTATTTGTTATCAAAAGTATTTATTGAAGATCAAAAGCACGTCTTTAGTCTCGGAGCGAAAACACGAGGTGAACGGTTAGAAGGCCGGAACTATATTAGCCAAGAGGCGCAGTGGAAGCGGCTCTCTCCCCCCACTCACATACGTGCAGACATAAGCCTTGCGCGTCTTAGCTATAGTGTATATGAGCTGTGTATGATCGACATTTCTACAAACTCATTTGTTCGACAAGTGGAAATGGTAGATTCTCCCCTATCTGATCACTTATTTGTACCTCCCTATTAATGTCAAATAACAGCGTTTCATGATTTTCCAGTTTCAATAGTTCTCTGAGCAGTTCATCATCAATCCAGGACATTTTTCTCTTATCTATCTCTGGATTTTGTTCCTCGATTTTATTTTCGTCCTTGTCCGAGGAATTGTCAGCTCAGTTCTTTTCATTACCTGACGAAATTTATAAAAAATAATTTAACAAACTATTAAATACAATGATTTAATACGAATAATTGTTATGAAAAAGAATTGGAGGTTCCAGATAACGATAAATATTGATCGAGTTTTATTATATATTAACATCGATTGAGATTCCATTTTCAGTCTGAATCTAAATCCTTAAAGAGATATTCAAATGGATTAGTCGGCAAAGTTCAGAAATATGATAAAAAAGTATTAACCTACATTGATTCATTACAAAAGGTACTATTAAAACAGAATAATAGGGATAGAAAAACATTATAATTTAATCAGATTTTATACCTATGAAACGGAAACGATTTCAATACTATCGCCCCCTAAACTCAAATCGAAATGGACTTTGTTTCCAAATCATTGTCTTCCTTTTAACAGGGTTTAAATTAGAAATTGCAACGGTAGTCGATTCGATTAATCGATACGTTCGCGATTCGATAGCACTCGTGATGCTAGAGCAAACGTCTAAGAGAGATTAGATTAGATTAGATGAGTTCGTTTATTGCGCCAATGCGGTGAAGCCCCAAAATTTAAAAATGACAAAAGAAGAGATGTAAGAAAAATAGTAACGCATTTAACTATTTAAAGAAGATGAATTAAGTGAAAATACGTGAGTTGTATTTACGGTGAGCAGCGAATTTACAATGGCATTAACAGTAAGAAGACTAAGAATATGTATGTAAAAATAAAAATAGAATAAAATATGTAAAATATAGTAAAATAAAAATATATAAAGAACAATATGGTTGAAATAACAAATAGAACAACAAAAATAACAATAATAAAAGAGAGAGAGATTCGATTAGATTAGTTCGTTTATTGTGCCAATGAGATGGAACCCCGTCTGGCAGTTTAGAAAAGTACAAATCAAACATAACAAAATTTATAAAATGACAGAACGAGAGATGCAAGAATAAATATTAACGCATTTGACTATTTAAAGAAGATAAATGCGTGAATTGTATGTACGATGAGCAGCGAATTTACAATGGCAATAATAGTCAGGTGACTCAAAAATGTATATAAATATGAAAATAGAATAAAATATGTAACATATAATAAAGTAGAAATATATATAAATAAAAATATAATGAAAATAACAGATAAAAAAAATAATAACAATAATAAAAGATGAAAATAATAAAAATAATAAAAGTAATAAGAATAATAAAGACGATAAAAATAATAAAAGTAATAAAAAATAATAAAAGTAGTAAAAGTAATAAATTCGCGATGGCACCTATTTTACAGAAAAACAGTCTGAAAGGAGGAAAGGTATAAAAGTGGAGCGATGTGCATTTGACTAGAAAACAATCATATTTAATTAGCTAGTTCATGAACCAAAGGTCGATAGAGGGGTATTTGTGGGAGGATGGATAATTTTGGGAGAACGCGAATGGATTGACCTTGTTGGGTATGTGAGTGTAATCGGACTGTGCCGGCACTGGCATTAATTTTTCGCGTGTCGCCCTCTCAATCCATGCTCTAGCCTCATAATTTAAAAATAGATCACGCGTCCAATCCTTGAAGTCAGAGGTCCGATCGGTGGAGAACGGGGTCACGCTCAATGAGTTGAGTATTCTCTGAGCAAGGATCGCAAAAGAATGGTTCCAGGCCTCAGTTCGAAGGGCCTTGTATTCAAACGTCGACGGTGGATGGCGACCCGAGCGACGGATAATGACACTATCAAGCAGGACAGACAAGTTTTTAGCCAGATACTGCGGCGATTTTCTAGACACAACAGAGCAGGTCAGAACGGCGAGGGCTCTGTACCTATTTGGAGTAAGGGATAGCCAGCCCAAGGCTAATCTATGGTGGGTGATGTGGCTGGTTAGGGATAGAGTAGGTATATTGGAATCCATCCTATTACGAAGCGTACGCAGGGGTTTTGGGCAACTTGAAGCTTAGACGAGCACTCTCCATCAAGCTGAATACAGACCATTGAAAGGTAATCGAAATGTGGGAAAAAGAGCTGCTCGACAAGAACTCTTCTAAGGGTAGTTGAGAGAGATTTCCTATGGAAGCGAAGTGAAGCCGGAGAGCCGTATGCCCTCCTCGTCACGCTTCTCACATGTTCGGACTAATTTAACGTGGGAGTAAGTGTCACACCCAGGTTGCGAGCACTGATAACATAGTCGAGTGGAACCTCGTTAATAGTGACCTTCAAGATGTCGTTCAAGTTGATAGCCCTAACGTACTGTTCGCTGCCTAGTATCATGACCTTGGTCTTGGTGAGGTTAAGGGAGATACCGTTTCTTAGGGCCCAGTCCGCTATAGCCTGCACATCAACCTGCACCCTCTCCAAAGCCTCCGCAAGGCTGCCGAGATGACAGTGAAGGTAGATCTGCGTGTCGTCGGCATAAAGCATGTAGTTCATGAAGGAGAGAACAGAGGGCAGGTCCGAGATATAGATTGCAAATAGCACTGATTCCAGAATACTACCCTGCGGCACTCCAGTAGCAACCCAAAGCCAGTTCGATACCCCGCCGTCCTCCCTCGCCTAGTCCCTGAGCTTGACCATCAGACGACCATGGGGGATAATATCAAAAGCCTTGGAAAAATCCAGCAGAACGAGGATTGTAATTTTACGCTTCTCAATGGTCCTGCGGATGTCATCCATGACGCCCAGGAGTGCAGTCTGAGTGCTGTGAAACCTTACGAATTCGGCCTGCCGTGGATCACGCAGCTTACGGCGGTCCAGATAGAACGAGAGTTGTGAATGAACGAGCTTCTCAAGCACCTTTGATACCTCAGATAACCTTGCTATCGGTCTAATATCCGATAAAAGAGCAGGCGGAGGAACTTTGGCAAGAGGGGTGATGAGAGACCATTTCCAGGAGGTCGGAAAAACGCCGCACAATAATGATTTGTTAACAAGATGCATGAGAGACGAGAGAGAAGTAGAAGAGATGAGTTTAAGCATATTGACAGACAAACCATCAGGATCGAATGTTCTGGGTGAGGATAAGTTTAGTGCATTCATGACCTCCTGGCTAGTGACCTTACGAAATTCGAATGGGGAGTGAGCGTGAGGAACATTTGGGGACTCACTACAAGGGCGTCAAAAAAGTCACATGTTATGGGAGGAGACGAGTTTACTATATTGGCAAAGAGGGTGTTTAGTACGGTTGGGGGAAAAATCGAAACGGGGATGGAAGAGCGCGGTTATTGACTCCTAAGTCTCGTAACTCGCTCTATCTGGCCTTACTGGTACTTGCGGAGGACAATCTGCTTGAGATGTAAGAATTTTTTGCTCAGTTGAGGGCATTTGAGACGTCATTACGTAGTCTTAGATACCCAGCGACGTCACTGACCGAGCGGGAGGAGGATGCCGGATTATAGACAGCGTCACGCCCCGAGAATGCTCGGGATCACCCAGGGTTTACGCCTAGAAGACAACTTGATGCACCTGAGGGGGGCTACCTCGTCGGAAGACTTTATAAGGACTACGGTAAGAGAGTGCACAGAGTTGTTAAGGGAATGCAGGTCAGCATCGATCGGCGGATCGGAAGAGCGCTTCAGTCGTGCAGGAGATTTGCGACCAGACACGAGAGAAGGCTGCTGGGAGTCTCATTTAAGGCCGCCTTGTCTACCCAATTTAAACCGCGGGACCTAATAACTCTGGTGATATGCTTATTAGTAGTGAAACGATAGGTGAGCGAGATGAAATCATGGAAAGCAATGAAGGGAGTATCAGATTTTCCAAATGTCTGGATAACATTTGAGTCTTTTACTATGAAGAGTAGTGTGGGAAGGGGGATTTATATCAAGACAGTGATGTGTGGGATCAGTGGATATGAAGTGGAGGTTGTGTAGGTCAACAAGAGATCTCAAAGTTCGAGCATCAGGCAGAGAGCCAGAACTTAGGTCTGTGTTAAAATCACTGGTAATGATGACATTTCCCTACAGAGGGAGGTAAGTGGCCTGGCCTTACATTGAAAAAATGTGTGGGAGAGCATGCAGAGAGACGTCTGTATACCAACGCCATCAAAAACTTGGTCTTGTCGGACTTTATTTCACCAAGGATGAATTCAGGCTTGTTATCAAAAACTGGATCTGAAGTAGCTAGAAAACTAATTTAAGATAAGATCTGACGTACAGGCCAACCCCGCCACCTTGCTTTCCAATTCAGTCAAGCCTGAAAAAATTGAAATCGGGGAGGAAGAGGTGTGGGTCAGAGATATTAGATGAGAGGAAGGTTTCAGTAATGGCCATGACATCAAAATATGTAGAAAGGGCTTGTGCTTCAAGAAGAGCAAAATGACAGGGGGAATTTAGTCTATTTATATTGATGTGGCCGAC